TCCACATCTGGTTTTCTGGTGGTTAATTGGAGATAAGAGTCTCACAGACTTTCTTGCCCAGGCTGGTTTTGACCCACAATCCTAAGACCTCAGCCCTTCTTCCTTTACTCCCAAGCAGCTAGGATAACAGACATGAGTACCAGCACCCAGCTTGTTTGTTTTCTTAGCTAGGTTCTTGTACATATGCCTGGGCTGGCTTTGGATCGTGGTCCTCCTATCTCTTGTCTCCTGTGTAGTTGGGATTATAGGTGTGCACCACTACTGCTAGTTTCCTGGCAGCTTTATCATCATTGCTATCATCAGCACCTTCATTGTCCTTTGACGTCTTCTGTTTTGAAAAGATTGTGTACAAAGCCCTCAGTTAGCAGATGTCAGGTGACAGGTGTTCCAGTGGAGGAGCTGGGAGGATGCAGGTGATATGTGCCAGCAGGTTCTCTCTGGCCTGTCCCAGGAGGGACAGGTGACCACCAAAGCTGTTTCCTGAAGGTGTCTTCTTATGGAAGGGTCTTGGGATATCTTCCCCAAGTGCCTTACCTTTGTTCCTTTGACTGAGAGAGATGCAGGGAAGGGAAGAAATTAGAGATGCTTACCTTACGTTTATTGTTTGCATTGATTCCAATGAGGCCTTTCGTATCATGAATACATCACTAGACTTTGCCCAGAGACATATCATAAAATATGATTTTGGAGACAACCTTAATGGGCCATGATTAGAACATTATTATTAAACAAAGGATGAACTGCTTCAGCCAAGATGACTTTTTTTTTCTTTTTAAATTGAATGAAAGTTGAGCAGACTCTTATTTCAGCAGTTTCCAATGTCAGAATTCCCACAGCCCCATTTGATTGCCATTTGTTGAAAAGCTTAATGTTTTTGCAGGCAATTCATAATTTCCACATTGAATAACTAGAGAGGATGAGGGGAGAAGCCCAGTGTTTTCATAGCAGGATGGTGGGAATTCTTCCTTCCCTTCCCCAAAGGATCTAAACCTGAATGCCAACTGTTGGGAGAAAATGTGACATCGTGTTCCAACTCTTCTGTAAATCTGAGATGCCTCCTCTTTCAGGTCCTCCTTTAGGGTCCCACAGAATAGAATTTCCTTTTTAATGTCTCCAGGAAGGAAAAAGATTTTCCTTTAGGCTGTAATAGTACCTCCTTTCTTTTTTGTTCCCTTTACGTATTTATTTTCTCTATTAATAAGGACCAATTGTAGAAGATAAAGGAAATGGGGGCACCCATCATTTTGGGAGGAGGGTAATAACATCCTTAAAAAAAGAAAAAGAAATCCTGACATACTATTTAACATTCGCCAAAGGCACTCCATCTGCCCAAATGCCAGTTAGAAGTCAAGGGCTGGACACAGCTGAGCTTCGCTCTGTGGCATCTGGTTGCACTGGGATTGGGTGTTTGGGGCTGCCACGGCCGGGTCTCTGCCAGTCTGCGGGGTTGTGGCTGTCTTCTAGCATCTGGATTCGGTTAGTTCTCTCTGGGCAGCAGGGCCGAGTCTCATTTCCTCCAACCAGTAATGTTATATAGGCAGTGATCCTGGGCTGCCCTGACATAATTGAAAATTATGTGCATCGTAGACTCAGAGCACCAAAATGTAGGCTCATAAAAATATGTGATGCAGGTAGCTTATAGAGATTGGATATGGCTCACAAGGAAGCTTTTATGTAAACTGAGAATCATTAAGTCTCCACGTGACTATTGCATTATGGGTATGACAGTTCTTGTGTGGGGAACGCAGTGCAGGTCTTTCACCTTTAAACCAAACCGAACTGTACCAATTCTGGAACTGGACGTGACCAAATCCATTTTGCAGATGTGTGAAGATGAAAAATTTACCCGTTATGGAACTCTCTCCATGGAACCAGCGCAAGGGGTGGGTTTGTCTTGTAGGGTTGGCAGTTTTGCTTGCTTGTGGGTATTTGTGAGTTGCAGAGGTGAATGTTGCTAGGTATCCATTTTGGTTGGCCTCAAGGAAATGACTTTACTGAGTGGTTCTGACCAATGCAGCCCCTGTAGTTATGTGGCAAGTGAGAATGGGAAGTCAGGATGAGACAGGGCAAAACAGATTCCCAGAGCCCTCTGGCTTGAGTTACAGGGCTGAAGGAGACTTTGGAAACATTTATTTCAATTTTTTTTTTTTTGAGTGTTGGCACTCAAATTCAGAGCCGAGATGCTGTCCCTTAGCTTTTGTGTTCAAGGCTGATGCTCTACCACTTAAGCCACAGTTCTACTTCTAGCTCTTTGGTGGTTAATTGAAGATAAATAAAAGTCTCACAGACTTTCTTGCTTCAGCTGGCTTTGAACTGTGATCTTGGGATCTTAGCTTCTTGAGTAGCTAGGATTACAGGTGTGAGTCACTGGTGCCTGGCCTATTTCAGTGGTTTTAAACTTAGGATGATATCTGGCCCCCAAACACACTGGTATTTGGAAATTGGCTGTTAGGAGTTGACTAGAAGTTGGTGCTGGGATTTACTGCCTGAAGTCCTCCCTCCCTTCCATCACAGGTAGGAGTTTCCTATTTACTCAAGACAACTAGACAGATAGAGGACTTTGGAACAAGGTTTTGCCAAATTACCCACAGAGCCAGAACTAGTAACCAGGTTTCTTCCCCATAGGTGAAAGCTCCTAAGTTATAGAAGATGCTTCTCCATTGTATAGAACTGGGTTGGAAAAGCTGACTGTACTTGGGCTAAGACTGTGTGAAGGACAACTGAGCTTGGTCTTAGTTGGCCAAACAAATGCATCATCAATGAATTATGACTGTGGAATGGCTTTGGTTCTGTTTCTCATCGGGTTGGTGCAAACTTTTCCCCCCTCTTTCCTTACTTTTCCCCTTCCTTCCTTCCTTCCTTCCTTCCTTCCTTACTTCCTTCCTTCCTTCCTTCCTTCCTTCCTTCCTTCCTTCCTTCCTTCCTTCCTTCCTCCTTCCCTCCCTCCCTCCTTCCCTCTTTCTCTTATTTTCTGAGTCAGTTGTGAGGCTTGAACCCAGGGCCTGATTTTTATGCTCAAGGCTAGTGTGCTACCACTTTGAGTTAACAGCACCAGTTCCAATTTTCTGATGGTTAATTGAAGATAAGAGTTTCATGGACTTTCCTCCTGAGTAGCTAGGATGAACCACTGGCACCTGACCCAAAGTTTCTTTTTGGACTATCCTTTGCTGTCCTTACTCTTTGTATTGAATCTTTCCTGACTTACCAAGATGGACTCCTTGGTATTGCCTGGAACCAGCTTCTCTATATTGTGCCCTGACTTGCATGTAAGCGTGAGTGCGTGCGTGCATGCGTGTGTGTGTGTGTGTGTGTGTGTGTGTGTATTTCCTTATGCATGGCAAGGAGATTGGGCACAACGCAGTGTGAACACATCAGTGATTGTTGAATGGAAGTTTCTATAGAGTGACGGTTACAACTGGCCAGTTACTTTACTTTGGGTGTCAGAAGTGATCAAGGCTGTTCCTGTACACTCTGGAAGCATTAACTGATGCAGGAATCAATTGACCTCTAGAACCTTGAAGGATGGTATTGACATCCTTATAAACATCATTCCTTAGCTTTGTTCAGTTGTCTGAATTTTTCTGAGTGAAACTATTGTTAGCAAGAAAAGTCAAATTCCTGGGAATCACTTGGGGTATGCTAAGTTTCTCAGGGTCTGGGCAGCCATTTTGCTTCCTGTTCCCTTATCTGCTAAACAGAACAGGGATGGGATTGGTTGATAATTGATCGCTTCAGCCCCTTTGAGAGTAGACGTATCACTTTCAGTAAAAGTAGCTAGCCAGTGGGCATGTATTTATCTCCTACCTCAGAAAAAAGATAAGGAAAGACATAATTGGCTTTTTTCCTCCTCCTGTAACAATCCCAGGATTTGAATTCAGGGCCTTGGCACTCTTGCTAGGTTTTCTTGCTCATGGCTGGCATACTACCACTTGAGCCATATCTCCAGTCCATCCATACCTTTCATTTTTATTTTGGTGATAAACCTGTGCATAGTTAAGTATTTCTCTGGCCTTTTTACCCCTTTGGTGGTAGTGAGGTTTGCACTCAGGGCTTCAGGCTTTCTAGACCAGCATTCTACCACTTGAGCCATGCATTCAATCCTAAGAGTTTTTCTCTGGTCCTTTCAGATGGCTGTATAAGTCAAATTGTGCTGTGCCCTGGGTGTGCATCTGCTGCCAGGAAATATTTTTGTCTGATGAGCTTTTAGATTGATTATGGAATGACATGCTTGTTTTCCTTGAAGCAGCTTCTAATACATGAAGGACTTGGCTTCCTTTAGAATGAAGAGTGTGTGGCAGGTTCTTGGAGTCAAAGATCTGGAAGATCAAGGTGTAAAGCCAGCCTGGGCAAAAAATGAACAGAATGCACATCTTAACCAAGGACAGGTGTGGTAGTTTGCATCTGTGTAATGCTAGCTACTCGGGAGGCATAGGAAAGAGGATCAAGTAGAAAGGCTAGCTTGGACAAAAAGTGGGAGACTCTATGTGAAAATTCCTGAGAGCAAAAAGGGACTGGGGTTATGGTTCAGGTATAGCAAGGAGAAGGTCTGAGTAAAAACCCCAGTACCACCAAAAAACATTAAACATGATAGGATTTTAAAGATAGAGGTGGTTGGAAGATTAGATCTGGAATGGATGGTTCCCTAGGACATTTCTGGCTTGAGATTTGTGTTTGTTTCTTACTTCTGAAATTGCTGTATGTTCCCTGTTTTCTTCCCTCCTCCCTACAATTTACCTCCCCCCCACCCCCGCCCCGCTTTCTCCCTGATGAGTGTCAGCAAATGCATTTTTATCTAGAGCTGCCCTGTGGTTTGACTGCAAAAACAAACTCCAGTTACTAATGATGTTTTCTATTTGAACTGAGAGCTCTAAGACCTTACTGATAGTGCATGAGCTTTCTCTGGTTGTTATTTGCATGCTTTATTAGTCTCCCCCCTCCCCCCAGTTTGTGATCCATATAATGATTATTCCTTTGCTGAATGTACTGTTTTGATTTTCTAGTATCTTCAGATGAAATGGCCGCTACTTGATGTCCAAGCAGGGAGTCTCCAGAGCAGACAGGCCCTCAAGGATGCCCGCTCTCCATCGCCCGCACACATTGTTGTAAGTACCTTTCCAAAGATAGGCCCGGCGACCCTTTTGGGGAGGAAGGGAGGTGAAGCAGAAAATACCCTATGATGATACTATGCCTTATTGGTTAGTTCTTTCTTTAACAAAGTTTATTTTGGAATATTCTTGGATGTGATTTTATATCTATAAGCTACTCATTTTGAGTGATGAGATGCTAGTGATTGTGAACTAGGTGGAAATTTCCCAGGTCTTCCCTCCACCCTTTTCTCCATGCGTTGGGTTAGAATCTAGTCTTGTGGGATCAAGTTCATAGGATACCAATACATCTCCCTGGTTTGGAGAAATAATATCAAAGTGATTGAAAAAAAAATGTAACGAGGGAAGAGAGGTTGAAAGGAAAGAATTAGAAATAGGGAGTTGGGAGAGATGGGGAAGAATGTTGTAAGTGGTGACGTTGATCAAGAATGCATTGTGCTTGTGAATTGACATGTTGAATTGAAACCTCTTTGTACAGCTTCTTAAAGATAATAATAATACAAAATAGAAATAGGGAGCCCTGGGTTAGAGGAACCCCCCCAACCTCAGTGTTTCTTAATGTTTACTGGAAAGTAATATTTGATACTAACATTAGAAAATTTTGTCTGGGCTGGCTGGCGGGTAAACCTGGAGGAGAAATGAACTTAAAATACAAAATTAAACTTAATCTGTATAGCCAGAGCTTTGAAAGTATATGGGATTGACATGGAGAACGCTTGCTTTTAGTACTAAGAGACTACAACATAAAGTATGTGTTGACATATATTTTTAATGCACTTTCTTAGGATTTTGTAGGCTCTGAAAGTTTATAAATTAACCTCTTGAGGAGATAGCTCAGCCTTATTAGAATATTCATTCCCTTCTATGTATTTATATCATGAGCTGGACTTCATATTTTTGCAATAATTAATGAAAGATATATTTTTATAATGAATCTATGACAGGTAGAATTATCCAAAGCAAGAAATAACTCATGCATTTTTTATTTAAGTATCACAAAATGTTACCTCTGTGACTATGTTACTTGTCATTTCTAAAAATTGCCAAGTAATTTTCTTAAGTCAACAAGTCTTCAGATAACATTGTGTCAAATTTCAGGCCTAACTGCCTCCTCCTTTGGTCGCTGGCTGTAATTGAGTATATATTATTTAATGAGCTGTGCATCTGTTGCATGTGTGTATATTGCAAAATAATTTATTTCTATAAAACCACATTTTGAGCCCTTTTGTGAAAATGTCTTAACTTCTCATGGTATAAATAAGACATTGTAGGAAGAAGGCTAACATTTGCTAGAAGTTTCCTCCCTGTTCTCCAACTCTACAATTAAATAGAACCTCATAGTCAAGGATGCATTTGGAGTGTCAAGACTTCAGGGTTAGAGGTGTTCACCTTAGATCATTTGAGGCCCGACCTGATCTCCAAAAAGGAAACTGAGGCCCAGAGATGCCTTAAGTGAATTGCCCAAAGTCACGCGCTGAGCTAGTCGCCACAGTGAGGATTTTATCCAGTTCTCTGCTCCTCTCTGGGGCCTTGTGGCATTCTTCTTTTATGCCAGACCTAAGAGGAACTTTGATGGCTGGCTCTGATGACTATAAATTGGATCATCATGAGAAAACTGACAGAGGTGTAAAGAAGCTGCTGGCTTGGGGTACTGACACAGATTTCATCTAGAAATTGGATTTCATGTTAAAAAAAAATCTTAACATACAGATTTGAAAACAAGTGTGACATGCTGGAGTCTTACAGGGTAAAGTGAGGAAAAATTGTTGTGTTGCTTTTCCCTCCTCTTCTGGGTTTCCCAACTTTGGCCTCAGGCTTGGAAATTTCTTCCTCTGCTCCTGGAAACGCTCGATGGAACTTTCCCACACGTCTTTCTTTTAGTTTTTTAAGCGACTGACAAAAGATAGCGCCTTTAGAATCTCTTGGAGGCCATTCTCTCTGAGTGTGGGGAGAAGAGGCAAAGCCTAGAGTGGTTCCCCTTCCCCTTGCCTCAGATCTGTAGGCCACACCTGTAGTGTTATCCACCACGCCCCCCTATACAAGAGTGAGGAGTTAGTTGTTCATTCACTTCTTCCATTCCTCCAAATCTCGTAAGAACAGTAGTCACAACTTGGGTCTGAAAAGCCTAGTTTTCTCATGTGGAAATGAATGATTTGGAGGAGATGCGAGAACATTTCTTTCTAGAACCAATGTGGATTTTGGCTAAGGGAACAAAGTAGGGACTTAGGTTCCATTTTCTTTCTTAAGTTCCATCTCCCCCCCCCCCCCCGTGATTAATCAGACGACATGATTCCACACATATCACCTTTGTGATGGGGACTTGGACTCAAAAGAGCCATACCATCTTGTCTACTTCCCACTGTGGTCCTGGGGACCTAGGAACTAGCCATCGTATAGAGGTTACGTATGGGCTTGTGGAAGAGACGGAGCTTAGGGAGCAGATGAGACGTTGGGGCAAAACGATGCCACACTTGGGAATTGCTTAATTCTCATTTCACTGGACATGGGATAATGTGTTAACCAAAACCAACTTCGCTGTGGCAGGTGCAACATGTTTTGTAAAGGAGGATCTTCTGAAATGTAGCTCATGCATTGCTTGTGTCTCTATTTAATAGTTTATCATTGGCCTCGTTTAACATTGGCTACTGGGACTGGCTTACGTTCAGATTTGGCCACAAATGTCCAACTCATCCCCACATATTCATGGCTTCTCTTCCTCCTCCCACTGTGTTTTTCAAATCTGTTAAAATGTTGTCACCTCACAGTGTATCACCAGACATGTTTCAAAATAATCTTCTAAGGATTGCTTCCTTATTTCTCTGAAATGTGGATTTATTGTAACTTTTGAGCCAAACTGTTTCATAATTGTTTCTGATGTTTCACTTTGAAAATAGAGAAGCATGCAGACTTTGTGGGTAATCACTAGAAACTACAACTACAGCTACAGACAAAATCACTTCTCCCCCATTTGGGGGAGAATTCTCACATGGGAATTGGAAGCATTTTCTTAGAATATTTTAATGTGGCTGAAGTTTTTCATGTAGTTATGTGGGTTACCATGTTATTAAAAATTGATGTATGGAGTAAGTGATCTTAGCAAGTGGATATGAGTTCATCCAATAATAGGTATTTCTTCATCTCTATCCATTCATGCACTTCTGGTGCTGGAGATGGAACCCAGGGCCTTGTGTATGCTAGGCAAGCACTCTACCACTGTGCTTTAAGCTCAGCTCTATCTAATAATGTTTAAAATAAGAAACCCTCCACGTTTAAGGTCCTGTGTCTGATAGAGCATCTTGCTTATTATACTCTGGAGATTCCTGATCTGGGTTCAAAGGAGAGAATAAATTCATTCCCTAGAGATGTCTTGATTAGAAGGCGAAAAAGTGAACGTTTACACAAGGCAATAATTTTTTGTGATGATGCCCTCTCTTCCCTACAAATGTATTGGTCTTCTCAACATCTCAAAGATGCCAGCTACACAATCCAAGATCTTTCTTTCTCCCCAGATCCATTTTCCCCTCTTCCCCCTTCTTCCCTCCTTCCTTCCCTCCCTCCTTTCTCTCCTTTCCCTCCCCTCCCCCTCCCTCCCTCCCCCTCCCCCTCCCCCTC